TGAGAAGCATACAGTGCAAGCAGCTGATTAAGTGCTCAAACACTAACAAACTGACAAGATCTGTCACTGTCTGTATCTGGGTACCCATTCCACCTGGGTGAAGTGAGGAAAATTCCTGTAAAGTGCCTTTCCCGAGGACACAAATAATTAATTATGTGGTCATGGAAATCGGCATATTTTTGGCCTTTGGGCATGGTTTTTTTTGGGGTTTTTTTTTTGGCTCAACACCTTCTGTGTCCATTTTAGAACAAATTACTAAATTTATGTGTTGATTTTATCGGAAAAGGTTGATCAAATGCACCCCCCCCCCCCATAAATTTGCAGTTTCTAATAACACTCAAGCTTTGGAAGTCACCAAACTTTGGTGGCCATTATTTTGATAATTTTGCCTATGGCACCAGGCAACCCCCACCTCCTTCAATTGCCAATGTCATGACTTTTATGCAAGGTAGATGGGTATTTTTTTCTTTTAAAGCAAGGCAAATGAATCTAAGGCTTTAAGACTATCCCAGTAACTCCATATGCCCAAAGATTGACAAGCGCCTGATTCCATTGCATCATGACACATATGTAGTTCTATGTAAATGTTTCTTCCCCTTCCCCGTCCCCCAGTGTCAATTGCTGTTAAACTCTTACTATTGCTTGTTCACTTTCATCTGACCGTGTAATAAAAATTCCAGCTCTTTGTGCATTGAGGAAGTGACCAAACAAAAATATTTTTTCAACAAATATTGGCCTAATAATAAAAAAGTTTTTCTCTTTGGGACTTATATTAAAAACTGCTCTTTGGATGGATTCACAGGGTCACGCAAATAAATGACTTACAGTAGCCTTGCCTACAAGTTGTTCATGTGACTTTTATGAATGGGCTTTTAGATTCTGTTCGTTGCTTGGCTTTTAAACCTGCGTGCAAAGACCCAAAAAGATTAAACAGAATTTTTTTTTTTTCCTGTTTCAACCGCGGTTGTGTGAAAGTAAACCAGTTATAAAACTACAACAAAATATAACTGCTACCATCCCCCTCGTGGTTTCTGCTCCCCTCCCCCCCTCCCCCCATTCTCCCCAGTGTCAAATGTCGATTAGCTGTTAGTTTAACTCTGACTAAAATGAAAACTAAATGTACCTGTTTCTGTGTGTGTGTGCAGGTACCAGAAGACATCTGCTGTGGTGAAGACCGCCTCTGAGAAGACCTCGTCCGCCTTCTCCTCTGTGGGCCAGGTCATGGCCAAGAAGATGGGCGATATCAAGTGAGATCTGTTGGTTTTTTTATGGGTTTTTTGTTTGCTTTGGGTTGGGTTTTTTTTTGTTTTTT